CCAAAACAGATGTGACAGTGACAAAACTCAAGGTATTGTTGGAGTGCCTCATGGTAGGTAGTTCCATGACTGAGAAGTTCTGCATCAGCTTCTAGTCATGTCACTGAGGCTTTATCCTGGGGTGGTCACATGTCTGAAAGATGCTAACACCAAACAGATGTCTGGTTTCCTATTCTCTTTCAGAGATTTCAGTAAGAGAACTGGCTTCGTTGTTGCTTTATTCTTGGGACATCAGACTTCCTAAACTTACAGTGTCGTCGGAAGCCCTTTGTTAAGCTTTGCTGTAGACCACCTGCTATTTAGAACTTGGCAAAAGAAATATAGACTGCTTTTTCTCTTGTACTTAAACTTTGTTTTGATTCTGTTCTCATGTAATTTCCTCCAGGCACACTGTTTCATTTGATTTGACTAATACACTTTTCCTTTATGATTCCTCCAGCTAGTAGTTTCAGTTTACAGCTGTGTGAGCGTTTATCAAATGGAAAGTGTATTTTTGGAGTTTATTTCCAAACAAATAGAGTTAGTGACACATAAGAGTAGCTTTTTTGTTTGTTTGTTTTCTGGTCTGTATAAAAGCATTTGCTGAATAAAAGGTTTCCTGGTACAGTAATATGTCATCTTTTCACTACTGCTCCTTATATGGTGAATTAAACTCCAAAACTGAAGTCTTGGATTCCAAATAATTGGCAGAGGTATTTCTGGAAGGGCAACTAAAGGAAGAGATGCTCTAGGCTTAAGGACCTCTCCTGTCTTTCTGCTTCATTATAATGGTTTTAATTTGGTCCACTGTCTCTGCACCACCTTGAGTTACTGTTTGGACTCTACAGCTTCTTGAAGAGTGTCATGTATATGTGTGGTTTGTGTGTGTGAGGAGGAGGATTCTGTGTATGTGAAACTTGTTTCTTTGTTTTGACATATTTTGTACTTACTGCATTGCATAATAGAATCTTTATATATTCTATAAATCCCCTCATGTAACAGGAAATATGGAGACTTTGTGCAATTGCAAGTTCCCAAAACAAAGCATGCAAAGTTATTTTGTATTGACTTCCATAGTGAAAAGTAACCACCATGGTCCAACCCCAGAAGTCATAAAACATGTTTTCCTGTGGTGGCTTCTAGCTTATGAATATGTAGATGGTGACAGTGAGCTGCATGACATCTGTATTAAAGAGGAAGAGAGAAATTTCCAGGTCCATGAAACAGTGAATGTAATACAGTGGTGAATTGCATGTATTTTAGCTGTTTTGTGTCCAGACAGAGAGGGTCGATGTGCCCATAATTTATAAATGGCTTTATCCACACTTTGGAGTCCTAGAAAGGCTTCCTACCCAAGTGTCAGCAAGTACTAGCTGCTGTCAGAGTCTCAGAACATAATGTTCGTCCCCATCATAATCACATGAAGGAAGGTGTTATTTCAATACATAAACATGATTTTTATGTATTAGTACATAGGATATGGGAGGGAGGAAGGGAGGGAGGGGAAAGCAGGGGTGCTGTTCTAGAAACATGGTTTGGGTAAAAGTCAAAAGCTAATTTTCTTTCCATAAATCTAAATAGGACCTAATAGATTTAAAAGAAAATTACTTAATGACTTCAGGCTTTACTCTAGAGCAAGCCTGGACAATACCAAGGAACTGGGCTGTGTGTGGACATGCAGGAGGAATGGGTGCTTTGGAAGGGCTGGAGAAATGATTCCCTCCTCTGGTTTCAATAGGGTGTGAGGGGGCTCATTTAGGGTTTTTTTTATTTCTAAATTCAAAGTTCAGCAGGAAAATTTCCTTTCTTGGTGGGGTGGAAAAAATTTCCAAGCATTATTTGTAATGCAAATATTTTTTTGCTATTTCAGTATTCTAAGGGTACGTAAATGGCATTGCTAGAATTATCTTCTTCTTGACTTATTTATTTTTATATTATAAACTTCTGCCACATAATTATTTTGGGATAACATAAAGTGGACGATAAAATTAAAACATATTAATGTCAGGATAGTTGCACACAAATTTGGATCTTTTGGTAACGTTCACACGCAAAAATTCACTTTGCATTGCCAAGTGTGAGGCTGTGTTCTCTTAGAAACAAGAAATGTTGGACAGGTATTTGGAAGGAGGGAAGGGGATGTGAGATATCTAGAAAGCAGCATGGAGAATCCGTGTTGGAGCAAGCTCCTGGCAGTAACTGTGACCCATGGAGAGAGCCCACACTGAAGCAGGGGAAAGTGTGTAGAGGAAGGAGCAGCAGAGATGAGCTTTTATGGACTGACCACAACCCTCATTCCTACAACCACTGCACTTACTCTGTTTTTAATTGGCAGTAAATTTAATTAATTTTTCCTAAGTTGAGCCTGTTTTGCCTGTGATGGTAACCACTAAGTAATCTCCCTTTCTTTCTCATGACCCATGAGTTTTTTAATCTTATTTTCTCCCCTGTCATGTTGAGGAGGAGTGAGAGAGCAGTTCTGTGGGTGTCCAACAGCCATCCAAGGTCAACCCAACTCATAGTACAGTAAATAAGTAACTGAACTCTTGCTACAGTGCCAGGGGCTCAAGTATCTATTCTGACCATTGTTCCTTGGCTCACAGAGGCAATAGATACCAATGGAACTGCAGTTTGTGTTTTTACAGGATGCTGGGGGAAAAAAAAACCTAGAAAAAAATTATAAATGGAAAGGGCCATAGGAACAGTTTGGATGGAGAATTCCCTCTGTTGTGCCAGACTTAAACAATACGGAATGATCTTGGAGGAGAAAACTGATGGTGTGCTGTGTGGGACCAGTGCTACTTAATATCTACATCAGTGACATAGACAAAGGGATTGAGTGCACCCTCAGCAAGTTTGTGGGTGACACCAAGCTGAGTGGTGCAGTGACACACCTGAAGGATGGGGCAATCCAGAGGAACCTGGACAAGCTTGAGAAATGGGACCATGAGAATCTCATGAGGTTTAACAAGACCAAGTGCTGGTGCTGCACCTGAGTTGGGGCAACCCCCAGTATCAATCCAGGTTGAGGGATGAACAGATCGAGAGCAGCCCTGCTGAGAAGGACTTGGGGGTGCTGGTGGGTGAGAGGCTGGACATGACCCAGCCACGTGCACTGGGAGCCCAGAAACCCCCCGTGTCCTGGGCTGCATCCGAAGCAGTGTGGGCAGCAGGGGAGGGAGGGGATTCTGCCCCTCTGCTCTGCTCTGCTGAGACCCCACCTGCAGTGCTGCCTCCAGCTCTGGGGTCCCAGCACAGGAGGACATGGAGCTGTTGGAGTGACTCCACAGGAGGGCCACAAAAATGAGCCCAAGGCTGGAGCACCTCTCCCATGAAAATAGTCTGAGAGAGTTGGGGTTGTTCATACTGTGAAAGTGAAGGGGATTTGTAAGAAAGATGGGGACAAACCTTTTGATAGGGGCTGTTGCGTGTTAAGACAAGAGGTAGTTTTAAACTAGAAGAAGGTAGGTTCGGACTTATTATAAGGAAGAAAGTTTTTATAATGAGGGTTGTGAAACACTAACACAGGTTACCCAGAGTGGTGGTAGGTGCCCCATCTCTGGGGACATTCAAGGCCAGGCTGGATGGGGCTTTAAGCAACCCAATCAAGGAGTACATCGCAGGAGGCTTGGACTAGATGACCTTTAAAGATCCCTTCCAATCCAAACCATTCTAAGATTCTATGATGGTACCTTCAAACAAAGAGAAGAGGATGTTAACTCTGAGCTGTGAGGACCCACAGCTGAAAGCCCAAATGGACTCACTCAAGGGAGGAGTGAGGCATCCATTTCAACAGGAGCAATTAACTGTCAAAAGAAAACCATAAGAAGCAAAAGATTCTTAATTTGTTTGTGTCTTCAGATCAAGACTGGATATCCATCTGTTAGGTTGTGTGCAACTCTTTTCCCTTCAGGAAAGGAAAATTAATTCTTTAAGGATGGATGCCTTAAGGTGGTCTGTGTGCATGAGAAACTAGTCTAATCTTGCTATTTGCCTATCAGTCAAAAGATTATGCTTTTAAAAAAAACATGTTTCTAAACGTTGTTGATGGGGAGAGGGGCTCAGTTCTTGTTCATACCCTCTGTAGCAATTGTTCAGTTGGCTGGTGCAGATGGAGGAAAGGGACTGCATTAGGAGTGTCCATGCTGTCTTCAAAACTAGTCCTAAAACCCAAGGGAACTTGAGATGATTTTTGGAAAAAAAAAAAAAAAGGTACACCTCTGTGAAGAACTGTACTTACCTGTTGTAAGCGCTTGGTAGCCTGCTGTGAAGTAATAAGTGTAACTTGGGCCTTGCAGGAACGCTTCTGAATTGTGAGGGAACACAGTGGAATCCTCTCCTGGGAGGAGAGCAGCTCTTAAGAGAGGATACGCAGTTAGATCCAGTGGGATAAAAGGTAGCTCGGTGGGGGTTGATGTAGGGCTAGTTGTTATTTCACTTGTTCTCTCTGGAATTTCAGTATTCCCAATATACTGAGATATCCAAGAGCATATGGCGTTTTTATTCTCTCTTTGATTTAAAACTATAGAAATGTTGTCTAATGTTTTCCTTCCCATTTCAACAAGATTTTGAGGTAGTTGCCAATTACTGCACGTATTTTTTTACCCTGTAGAAGCTGTATGTGGTATTCTTCAGCAAACACGCCTGCCTTGTAGTAGGAACGCAATGGAAAATACACTTACGGATTAATAGAAGTGTCCCCAATTAGAAACAGACTGAGACATTACTCCAGTATAAAACAATGTCTACTGTTTATAGAGAACTTCTCACATGTAAATGTTATCATGCTATTGTAAAAAAGAAATACTACTATTTTTTGCAGGTTCCAGAGCATGGAGAAGAAAAGATGAATTGTTCAAGGCCAGCCCTGGTCTAGCTCTTAGTCCTGTGGTCTCCCTAGTAGACAATGTCTAACCTGTCCAGTGCAAGGAGGTCTCAAAAATATTGCTTGTAGCTGCTGAAGCACATAAGAAATCACAAGAGTCTATTGCTGATTTGTCTTTTTTTCTTTCCCCTTGCAGATCCTGAAGTGTCCGGAATTCCCATTAAAACAGATAACAAAAACGTAAAAGCAGAGGAGTTTAAGGGTACTGTATGGGCATTGCTGTGATAATTTTTAATGTATACACAATATATGAAAACTATGTATACAGAAGCTATGCAGCTGTTAAGGTTGTCTTCCTGTTTCCTGAGGAGTCCTGCTCCTACTCTCTCCATTGACTTTGTGCTATTTTGTTCTTGTCCCCATTTTCTGTCAGTGTGGGATTGGACTTGGTGCTCCCCAGAGTCCTTTTAAACCTCACCTGTCCTGTGATTCTATGACTTGTTTGTCAGGCCAGGTAGTTCACTCCGTAACTTCGGCCTGCTCTCCTTCCAGCCAAAATGATGGGAGCTGATGAAAAGGAGAAGCATTAAATACATAACAAGAGAAGTGAGAGACTAGAGAGTACAGCTATAATTTAGCTAATTATAAGTAACTATAATTTAATGCCTTTTTTTAATAGCACCAAGCCCGTTAGAGTTCAAGAAGCATCTGGGCAAAACTCATGACTGCAGTTTAGTTTTAGGTAGTCCTGTGAGGAGCAGGGAGTTAGGTTCAATGATCCTTAGGGTCCCTTTCAACTTGAGATATTCTATAATTCAATAACCAAATTATAGCCTCCAGACCAGATGCAACTCCAAATTAAACATTGTCCAGACCTCTCGAAGGTCCCAGAAGATTTTTCCAGGCCTGGCAGTGCCAGTACTGATGCACAGCATCCTGTGGGTCTACCTTAATGCAAGTTAAGTAGACCTACTGTGAAAAATAGCTCTCACTGACTCCATTACTGTGGGGGAAAGTGGGAGAGGGGAACTATAACTAAGGAGGGTTTTATTATGTTGTCTTTGTTCTGTGCATGCTCCCTTTCTTCTACCCATTCCTTTTCTCTGAATAAGATTAGTGAATGGGCATCACTGCTATTTTTTTCTGAAACAAAAACATGTGACACGTAGGAAAGGGGCAGCTCATTCGAGACAGAGGTGACTTGTTCTGCTGAGAACACTTCAGCTGAGCTGTCTCTGTGTCAGCTAATAGAGACCAGCTCATGAGACCGGCCAACTGTCACAAGGTCAGCAGCAAAAGCAAGCTGAGCTTGAGTGATGGTTTTTCTTTGTAAGAAGGATACAAAAACAAAATGGAAAGGAAACTTTAGCAAATCTTAAGATTCAGGAAGTCTCCACCCATCCACTCAACCTGAAGTCAGGAACCTTGGGCTTCCTGAGTGCACAGTATGTTTTTCGAAGCGGCCGGTGCGTGTGTAACATGTTTCTGGCAAGGAATGCCCTCCTGCCTCAATTTTTCTTTCAAGTCTGGACATTTTTTCCCCTGTGAGTTATCACCAAGGCTACCAGTCTGGCTTTTTGTTTCTTTGCAGAGCAGACCTAGGAAGTCAGACTCTGAAGGGTGAGAGGGTGAACTGTCAGTAGCTCTTAATTGCCCTCCGGCCTCATTTGCTGAGGCTGGAGAGGGTGATGGTTAATGCAGGTTGACTATGTTTGAGCAGTGCATGTTTGTCTCATGAAAGCTCGACAGGCATTGCCAAAACTATAAAGGCTTTTGATCCTTGATACTCTGGCCTGTATTGGAAGATGAGCAGCCTGAAGGTGGGAAGATCTGTGTTATGTTTGTTTCTTCTACAGAAGTTTCTGGAAGATACTAGATTTTACTTTATTAATAGATTTGGAGCCAGTCAGATGTATAGCTGGATTCTTTCCTCTGATGTTGTTTCCAAATAATTCTTATTAATATCTTGACTTTAGAATTATTTACTAGGGAGATATATATATATGTGTGTGTGTGTATATATATATATTTCAGCATGCTTTTACATGGAGAATGGAACTACTGGAATGCCCTGCTGGGAGGACAGTTGGGCTCACAGGATTTCTTGTTCTTCATTTGTAGCACTAGTTTTGGTGTTTTGTTTTGGTTTTTTTCCTACCCAGTTATGGCAACTTTAGCAATAATCCAATAATGAGTAACTCTTGAAGTCTCAGCCTCTCTGTGAAATTTGATTGGTGATGCCTATTATACAGGAGTCAGGGAAACTTGAGTGGTCAGACAGAAAGGTGAACAATTGTATGAATCTTCTTTTCACGAGAACTCAAGAAAACTTAGAGGTAACTCCCATGGGATGTTATGAGCAACCTCTGCTGCCAGAAACTCCAGGGGCCTGGGGGTTCTTCGAGCCCAGCCACTGGAGCTCAGTCTGGAGACCTGGGGGTCTTTGTCCCAGGCTGATGGGGACAGCTGCTGCTTTCCCGTTTGCATGTTCAGCCAGTGGCAAGGCTGTGTGTGTGTCCCAGGGGTGGCTGTGTGTGCGTTGGTGACACTGGCACAGCTACACTGACCACCACAGACAAGGCACTGCCCTCAGCAGCACCCACATCTAACGCTGCCCAGGCTCACACAGTGCATCAGGCACAGACAGCTGAGCCTCCTTCCTCCCCTCTGCCTGGTGGAGATTGAAGTTCCCTGGCAAAACCCCTCACACAGTGTTCCAGATTCACAAGCACATGCGTGTTCTTGGATCCCCTGAGTCCCAGCACAGCCCTTCTGCCCATCCCCTACCCCTGCCCTGCTCAGCAGCTCACCCAGCTGGAGGTTTGCTGGTGAATTACACACACACCTCCAGGCACACCAGCTTCGGGAAAGTACCAACACTGCATACCCTGCACCCCCCCACTTCCAGAAGCCAGCACTGCAAGTCCAGGGGTGCCCACATTGCCCCAATGTGACCCCAGCTGATGGACCTAAATTTACTCAAGCCACCTTTCATGTAAAAAGACAACTCTGCACTGTGGGCTTGGAGATTCACCCACACACACTCCCAGTATGTGTGGCCCCTCCAGCTCCAGTTGCTCCATTTGCCCACACTACATCCCAGCACTTTAAGACTGGGGTTTAAGACTGTTTGGAGACTGGTCTTTTGTCATTCTCTCTGTTTGTGTCCCCGTTTGTGTCTCTGTGGTTTTGTTTGTTGCTGCCCCTTTACTTATGACCACTTTTGAAGTGAAAATGTCCTTGGTTGGGAACCTTAATGAAGCACACTCTCACCTTTCATATACCCTCACAATAACCAAAGTGGAATTGTAACTAAATACATAAACATAAGATACTTAGAAGAATGTTTAACCATCTTAGTGAATGTTTTCTATCTGCATTAAGTTACATATTTAAACAGTTAAACTATTAATACTGAATTCAGAATGGTAATTAAAAAATATTGTTAATAACAGGGTAAAAGTCCTTTTTTAACAGTGATCTGCTAACTGAAGAAAATTAACTAAAGTAACTAAAATAAGGATTGTAATACAGAATCTCTGCCCATCCAACGTGGGAATATCTAGTCCCCAGTATCTGAAGTTTGATCCAAAAGCCACTGAAGTATGGGAAAATTACTAGTTTCTGTTTTCCCATTGTGTTTGTGTAAATCTGTAGAGGCATCACTTTGAGAAGTAGATCTGGCCCTTGCTTACTGCTCAGTTTCTTTTGAAGGGGGAATATTAATTTCATGGAGCCTGAATGTGTACCAAACAAGTAAAGTCTTTAACTTTCCCATTTGTGTTCTCTTTTTTTTTCCCTCTAGAGGCAATTCTTAGTTGCAAACCCGAATTTCCAAAAGGGATGAGCTTAAGAATAGAATGGAAGAAAATCCAGCCTCAAGGAGTCTCATTTGTCTACTTCAATGGTGAATTTACAGGTACAGTACTACAAACAGACTGATGCCTTAACATGTCATTCTCTAGCATAGATATTGGCTGTCTCTTGGGGAATAACACTAGGAAAATGACTGAAGGAGAAGGCTCTTGACTGTCTATATGGAACAGCTGTCCTTTCAAGGTAAAGAATTCTTTCCTGGGGGAAAAAGACATTTCTTTATGAAACTGTCAGTTGTTACCTTTTTAATGAATTTAAATTTCATAAAACTCAAGACTAAGAAAAATGGCACTGCAGATCCTTGGCATTTTTCAACAATGAAATTATATGCAGATATGAACTCCCCAAAACTACTGCAGTCCTATGCTAAAAAGAGGTTTCTGAAGCCTCTTGTAGAGCTGGAGGCTTGGAAATGAATAATGCAGCAATTTTTATATACATAAAATATAAACTCAGCTGTATATTTTAAATTATTTGTATTCTTTTCAAAAGTAGAATTTCTGTTTGTATGTTCTGAAAAGGACTTACCTCGGCTTTGTGTGTTGGAGAAAATATGAGTCTCTCGTTACCTTGTACACAAAAAATGAAGGTTGAGAAGTAAAATAAAAGCCACAGCAATTTTGTTAGTTTGTAGAGCTTGTAGATGTGCTGACCTTGTTGATGAACTTTTTTTTTCCTGCATATATTTAATTTAGAGAAACACTGGAACTCGTGGTTCTGTGTGTTAATGTAACTTTAATTTCATAACAATAGAATTAAAAAAAACCAAACTCATTGTAAGAAGTCTGATGGCAATATCTTTGCTATATCCATCAAATTTTTCTTGCCAAGTTAAAATGTCAAATCCTTTTCTGTGGTTTCACTCACGATTCTTTCTGTAAGGTAATTAAGTTAGTGATTGCCATTTCTCTAGTGGAAAGAGATTTCTTTTTTGCCTACTGACTACTGCTATAAATATCTTGAGATATCTACAGAAAAAAGCATTCTGTCTTCCAACTGGAGAACATTCAGCAGATGTAGGTTTTTTAACTGGGGTGAGGGGGGGGTTGGACTAAATGGACAAGTTGTGGAAGGTTCTTACTGTCTTGGGAAGGGGATTACATATTGCATGTTGGTGATAGATAACTAACACTGAACAAATGAGCAATAGTTTCATGTACAATATCACATAAAGTATCAATGAATTGTACGTGATTTCGAATAAGCAAATGAGCTGTGGACATTTGCTTTCAAACTGAAAGAGTAGAAATATAGTTGAGATATACAGAGGAAGATCCTTACTGTGAGAGTCATTAAACTGGCACAGGTTGCCCAGAGAAGCTGTGGATGCCCCATCCCTGGAAGTGTTCAAGACCAGGTTGGATGGAGCTCTGAGAAACCTGGCCTAGTGGAAGGTGTCCCTGCCCACAGCAGGGCATTGGAACTGGGTGATCTTTAAGGTCCCTTCCAACCCCAAACCATTCTGTGATTCTATGAATTTATAAGCAAAGAGCAGAAACCTCTCTATTCTCCCTTAAAGGTGATCTTCGAGGCCGAGCAGAGATGCTGAACACAGGAATACGAATTAGGAATGTGACTAGAAGGGATTCCGGGACCTACCGCTGCGAAATCAGTGTCAAGAGGGAAGAGAGGCAAGACCTGGGAGAGGTTACAATTACTCTCACAGTGTTGGGTACAAACTTTATTACTTGGGCTTTTGTAAACCAACTGAATGACGGTGTGTTGGGGTGTTGAAGGTAGTGTTGTCCACATGGCATGTGGCTGCTGGGTTTTGGGTCTTCTTTGGGCTGGGATTATAAATACATGTGCATGTGCACATTCTACAACATACTTCACAAAACAGCTTTGCAAAAGCCACACTTGAATTAGAAAGGAACATAGTTAAGGTTTTGTTGATATAAAAGTGAGTTTCAGTTCTCAAAACTTAGCAAGTATGCTGATCTACACGGTGGTGAAACTTCCATTTCTACTAAAACTGAAGTCGCTCAGTGGCTGAGAACCTGAATAAGACAATCATGGTGTTTGGCACTGGAAAGTCAGCATCTGTCAACACTTATTAAATATTCATAAGCAGAAGTTCATTCCAATATGCTACAGTCTCCTCCTGGTTTTGGAAGGAGAAACTGCTGCAGTGTCTGTGCAATGACAACCAGTGAGCTGGCATTTTGTGGACTTTATTTACAGGAGAGATAGTGTTGGCTGCTGGGGAGGGTTGCTCTTTGTGGGGTTTTGTTTGTTTTCTTCCCCAGTTGGGTAAAGGAGGGAAACGTGAATACTGAGCACATTCTTCTCATGTTGTTTCTGGTATTTTTCCCAGTAGATGAGTGGTAGAGGTTGATGGTTTTCTTCTTTTCTCTGTATAGGGAGAAAAGAAAATATTTGCTTTTGTAGTTTTTGTATTCTTTTCCGTTAAAAAAAATCGATCTTTTAAAATTATAAATAAAGTCTCAAAGTTCTTCATAAAGGATGATAAATTCACAAACCTCTGATTAGCTCCAAAAGTGAGATAACTCCACTTATGCATTCTTTCTTCCAGCCCAAAAGGAGTAAGAGTGTCGTTGTTGCTTACAACTTTTTTGAAAGTTAATGTGAATTAGTTAGTATTTCACTTTGTCTTATTTTTGTTTTTTATCTTAAAATCAGCCAAGAAAAAACTATCAGTACTTGTTAGGGTGTGACATGTGCTTTTAATGTTCCATGCATGCCTCTTCACCCTTAGTTTTCTTCTACATAGCATCAAGTACCAAAAAATAAAAAATTAGGTTCCTTTCCTCTTCATGTATTAAAAATCAGAAAAGAGGTGTTCATCTGCATGGGAGAAGGAACAAACAGTTCTCCCACATCTTTGCGTGGGAATGTTTGCTTTTAATTTAAACTGAAATGTAGTAACAAATTGGTTTTGGTCCTCAACCTGGGGTTTATACAATGGCTGCAATAATTGCCAGTCTTTATGATTCTTTCTGACAATCACTTTTCAAAAACCAGTTGACTTCTTTTAATACAAAAAATCTTTTTCCTCTTCCTCACTTCTGTTTTTAAATAGTAGGGCAGGGAAGGGGGCAATTGCTGGGCTGCAGATTCCCTGAGTTATCCCATCTCTGTCTGTGAACAAGAAACAAAAATGAAACAAACTCTGTGGGGTTGGGTGAGAGTGCACAGATTGGAGGCAGGATGACACAGCATGTGGTGGGGGAGGCTGGCTCTCTCATTTTTAGCAACTCATAAATTTTACTCTGCTCTCAGTAGCAGGACTCTGCCTTCAACCCCTTCTCCTGTGCCTCATTTCATTGATGTGGTACATCAATGCTGAGCATGTACACAAGTGCTCACCTCCTCACCATGACTGTCAATCTGTTGTCATGCAAACAGTACTTATAAGTGTGTAACAAGTGCAATTCCATTGTCCAGTTGCTCCAACTACTCCGGTGTGTGATGTGCCGAGCTCCGCGATGACGGGAACAGTGGTGCAGCTGAGCTGTAAGGAGACTGAGGGCTCTCCTCCATCTGAGTACCAGTGGTACAAGAACGGTGTTGCCTTGCTGGAAAAGACAGGAACAGGCAGTGCTAGAACACCAAATATAACTTACACCATGAATAAGAAGTCTGGCACTTTGGTAAGTGCAATAACCAGCTCTGTGATAGCCAGCTATCAAGGAGACCGAATTTACTGTTTAGTACAATGATGCACAGGGGTCTTAATCCAAAAATGCACAAGGTCTTTGTTGGAGATTAATGTTGTGCTGAAATATGTGTTAACAAACATAGAAGGTAGTTTCTGCCTCAAACCAGTGTTAAGCTGTAGACGTTGAGTGATACAAACTGGGTGAAGTGCTAGTCTGCAGCGATGAGAACTGAGCAGGATTGAGAAAATACTTGAGAGATTTCACCTTGTCAGTTAGAAAACTAATGGCAGGTGAGAACGAGTGCTCGATATGGCAACAGAGCTATATTTGGTAGAACTTAAAATCTGAAATAGCAGCTTCGGGGGGACTGCAGCACTCAGGGCAGTACAGAATCTCTGCGATCCAGTGACACTTACAAGCTCCCATCCAGGACCTGTGAAGTCGGTGGGAATGAGTTGGGGCTGTGAGTAAGGTTAGTAGATTCTTTGTTTAGTTGTAGTTTGTTTTGTGGGTCGTGTTGTTGAGTTCTTTTCCCTCAGAACTCGCTGTGTCTTCCTCATCCCTCTCCCATTAGCTGATCTTTCAAAAAAACTTGATACTACTTAGGGTGCGCTGTCAGCTGAGATTTTTCAGAAGTAAAGAGTTGTTCTTATCTTGTGCAAGATTGAACATGGAAACTGAAACGTGACTCAGCATTCAGAGGTGCTGGGGATCTTTCATCACACTGTGGAAATCAGGTGGTCTACTCAAACTTATTAATCACTTCTAAAATCTCAAAGTATGGCATATATTAAAGGGAAAACAGTTAACAAGTCTAAAAAAGAATACAGGGAAGCACTGGAATTGACATGAGGTCAGTCTGTCCACCTCTTGCTTCCTCATTTTCATTTTTACAGTAGTAGTATGTGATAAATAATATGGTTTAGCATTTTTCCCCTGGAAGAAGAGACAAAGTGCCATTTTTGGAGGGATGGGGACTCCCCAGATAAGGCTTAAACTTCAAAAAAATTTCAGTTGACAAGGCACTGTAAGTAGTATGTGTCAAGTGTTTTTGACGAATCAGCAAATGGGGTTGTTTTGATAAAATGAACAAACTGCCCTGATTTCAGGTATTTTTCAGGTATATTTCAGGTATTCTGAAATTTCTCACTTTCCTTCAGGGTTTTTTTTGTTTTATTTGTTTAAAGCAAACATTCCCCCCTCCCTGCACCCACTGACATGTCAAAATTTCTATCCCACAGGAAATGCTGATCTTTTTTTCCCATTCTAATACTGATTTTGAACTCTTTCTTAACAGATATTTAACACAGTTACAAAGAATGACACTGGAGAGTATTTCTGTGAAGCCTCCAATGGGATTGGATTATCTCAGAGATGCTCAGTGAAGCGAATGCAAGTCGGTATGTGTCAAAGAAAATAAGGGTGGAAAAGAGTCTTGCAATAGGATTTATTTAATGGCATGGTGCAACTGAGAAGCTAAGACCAGATTGAATTAAATCTTTTTATTTGGTTATGGCATTTGGGGGGAGGAGTAATAATACTATGAGTTCCTTATATGTAGTTGCTGTGGCTACTTAATGCTTTCCTTTCTTACAGCACAAACATATCTCGCTGTATGTCAGAGAAAAGCAGCTAGTTTAGTACCTTAAAATTATTGCAGTAGCCAACCCTTAGGTTGCTAAACGCAACTTCACAGAAGAGCAGCAGCCATATGAGAGCCTTAATATTTCCAAATGCTTTTGTGGAAGGCTTACAGGATAACGTACCAGTCCACTGGGGTATTTTCTTCATGCAAAGCCTCCCTTTTGGGATGTATTTATGTGAGATCTGAATGTAACAGAATAGAAGGTTAACTGAGTGATTCATTTATACCTGACAGAGGAACACTGAAGAAGTCAGTGTATCTTAAAAATAAACAAATAGATAAATAAAGCCTGCTGCCTGTATCTTTTCTACTTGTACAGCATGGGTGAAGTGTTAACACTGGTTAGCTGATAAGGAATTAACAAAGGCTGGAAGTCTGTAATTACCCAAAATGCATGGAAGTTTTTGCAAAATATACAACTACCTCTAGTAGATGTGATAGGAAAGCAAATGGTAACAAATTCCAATAACTACTGCAGAGGAGATCCCATCCAAGTGTTTCATAAAGTGATTGAGTGGTGCTTTTTTAGAACTTAGCTGAAAATCACTGTGTCATGGCTTTTAATGCACTCCTAAGTGGATTGTGAGCAAGTGTTCCTCAAGCAACTGAGATAGAATCCCTCTGTTGTGGAAATACTCACATAGAGTCCTAAATTGCTGTCAACCAGTATACAAAAATTTATAGGTTTGTGAGTAAAATTTGCAATCATATATTAATGTATGCTTAAAGTAAGGATCCACATAGGTAATTGGACACATCACAAAAACCTGTGAAAATGTTTCTGCTGGTTGATGCTTTTGTTTTTCACAAAATGGATGATTGTCTGAAGCTCTTAGTGATTATGTCAGGAAATGGGCATGGCCCATGTCATGATTTAACCCAAGCCACCACCTTCAAAATAAAAATGGCTAGGTGTGTGTATGGCCTGATGTAGAGTTTAACTTCAGACATTTTGGCTTTATTGTGTTCCATTTTAAAAACCTTGCTCTTTAAAAATTAAAAAAGCATTGAATTGTAAATAACTCATTTGAAGGGTTCTTCAGAACTGGAGCCATCAGCTGTTTCAGTTGTTTTAGGCAAATTAACTGTATGAAAAGACTTGATTTAAATCTTACAAAGAATTCAAGGTGTTTTCCCTTAGAGACACATGACTTGGATAAGACTTATTTGGGATAGGTATGATGAGGAGTATCCTGTGGCCCATCTTACTCTTTCCTTACTTTTCACCCAGCCTAAGCAGTTGAAGTGTATCAAGCACTTCTCTTCATGTGGCTGTGATACAGTAGTGCTTTTAGACTTCTTATCCACGTCTGAGTGTTACTAATTTATCCAGCTTGGGCCAAAGACCACCTATGGATAAAACAGGTGCCTGTAGCAATTAGGGAAAAATCCAGCCAATGGAAATGCTTACAATTTACAACACTGGCCTTGTGTTTTATGATTACAGATGACCTGAATGTAAGTGGTATCATTGCTGCTGTAGTATTTGTGGCTCTGGTAATGGCACTGTGTGGCCTTGGAGTATTTTATGCCCAAAAAAAAGGCTACTTTGCAAGTAAGTAAAATAAAGTCACTCCTTCCTTGTGTCAAAAAAATGTCTGTACATAGCAGAGTTTCACGAAAGATCTCTTGTTACCCAGAGAAGCTGTGGCTGCCCCATCCATGGAAGTGTTCAAGGCCAGATTGGACCAATCTGGAGCAATCTGGTCTAGTGACCACGGCAGGGACTGGAATGAGATGAGCTTTAGGGTCCCTTCCAACCCAAACCAATTCTATAATTTTATGATTCTGCTGACTGTATCATGTCCTTCTTTTCATGAAGGCTCTAACTCCATGGTACTAAAGCTGGAGAGCATTACTAAAGCATTTTTGTGCAGACATTTTTATTCTGCCAATTTCTACTCCAAAAGATACATCAAGAATGACATGGAGACATTTGTGCAGTTGCTTACACCTACCAAACAGCAATTTAGGGAAAAGCAACAAGCCAAACCCTGGTTCCTGGAGCCTTTCCACTCTAGTTTTGAGAGGGAATGGCAAAGAAAGGGAACATAGAACCAAGCCAGTTTTAGTACACAAGGTCTGACCGGCTGAGTTCTGGTGAGAGGGAAACTAAATTAATTGTCTCCTTCCTCTGGGTGATGGAGAAAGTTTGCTTTTAGGGATTGCTGCAAAAGGCTTGACACCCAGCAACCCTCTATAGCATTTACATTGGTGCCTGCAGTTGAGCATAGCAAAAAGGGATGACAAATGTCAGGATCTGAAAAGTTCACCTGTCTCAGTAACAGAGGCTACAGAGCTGCTGTTAGAGTTCACTTGGAGCTTTATTTAGCCTTAAAAGCAGCCTAATCTTTTTTTTTCCTGTTTAAACTCATTACACCAAAAAGAGATATTTGGTTCAGAAGCTCCTTCTAGAAACTGGAGAGCTGAATAATCTTGAAATAATTATTTCAAAGGACTTTAAATCAGTGAAGGAAACTGTTCTGGTGCTAATTCTTTCTTTTTTTTTTCTTTTTCAGAGGAAAGCTCTTCCCAGTGAGTATCTTGATGCATGTAGTACACAAATCACTGCAAATTTCACTTACATTTCTGGTGATTTAGTAACTGCAATGATTTTTATGGCCTTTTTTACATGATTCTTGACACCAAAATAAACCCGATCCTACACACCAGCTGGTTCCCTTATTAGAACCAGTGTGCTGGTGAGACAGTGAATCATTACACTGCTGTGATCAATGTGCAGAGATATGTCTTTTATAGTTATAGTTTACAGCCCTAATTCACCTTACATGTGTCTCCTCTACAAGCTAGACAAAAGACAATCAGAACCAAATTGAACTGCCTTCATGTCCATGTCTACAGGTTATTTCAGGAAGTGTTTTGTAAAAATATGACTGGTGGAAACTTTCTGATAGTGCCTAGTCTGCTCCTTTGATATGGATTTATTTCACTTGCTTAAATTTCTTAGTAGCAAGTCAGAATTCCTCAAGCTATTTTAGTGCTCCCACAGGAGGCTAAAATTGCGCGCTTCATTGGAAGAGGCCTCCAGTATTTTTTTTTTATTGTTTTTGCTTTCAAAAGTTTATCTTAGCACTTCTAGGTAATAGCATTAAAAAAAATAAGGGTAATATACTGAAGAGAAAGATGATGTGATTTGTACTGGCCATGAACTGGATAAAAAGCCTAAGTGAAAGACTTGAAAAGACAAGGTAGAGAATGTGATTTGCAGTGGTTTATGAGATAATGACAGCTATCTAAAAGCATTCAATGGATTTTGTTATTGCAACTTTTTTCTAAGAAGGGGGGGGGAACCGTAGGGATCACTGGAAATATGGAAAAATGCATTCATACATAAGGTTCCCAAATGGCTAAAACCAATACCAGAAAAGTCACTATTAAACCTGTATTCCTTTTGTGTTCTGTTAACAGAAAGAAGACAAACTATCAATCTACAAGTGAAAAGGCAAGTCTTTTGTGTTCAGTAGTATGTTTAAAAAGTAGTAGTTCAGTAGTTCAGTAGTATGTTTTAGATGCATTTACAGCTTCCTGTCACATAGTGTTAAGTGCCACACAACTACAGCACCTTGCTCAGTACTTTGCCATCTTCTTCTATGTATTAATTAACCAAGGAAACTAACTCAGACACAGTCCAGGGCAGTAGTGAGTGTGAGAAAAAGATTGGGCCTTAATTCCTCTAAGAATAATGGGTGTCAAAAGACTTGATGAAATATGGAAACTGAATATACTGCTGTTTTCCCCCTCTTTTAGCAGGGTTCAGAGGCTTTAACTGTGTGTAGGTTGCTCCAGCTTTTCAAATTGGTGTGAAAAGAATGGTGCTCCAAATAAAACTTAAACTAAGAGCAACTTAATTTCACAATCCATACTTTAAGGCTATTAAGTAGCATTAGTAGTACTAATGTAGCCTTAAAAGCTCCCTGAACTCCACCCCTGTTCTTAATCAAAACAGAACGTAATAAATTGCATAAGCCTGTTCCTTAACCTAGTATGTCTATAAGGAACTTACTGAGGCCAACTACCTGGTTGCTCTGAGTGGGAAGGAGCAAGTTTTGAAGAGCTGTGGTATCTGTGTTAATGTACTTACAAATCAGATGCTCAACAGAGCTGTTTGATACTTGCATTTATGAATAGGTTATTACTTCTGTTCTATGTGGCAGTGCATTCCTTAGACTTCCAGAAAAGAGTAAACATAAACCAACAGTGCCTCAGACATACTTCTTGTCAATCTCAATGCCTTAATTTCTTCTGAAATGTATTCTTTTCACCTGTTTAAAATATTTGAACTATTACTTATATAGCCTTGTTTGCTTTGTTTAGGATTTCAAGCACACCAAGTCCTTTGTTATTTAGAAGATTTCAGCCTCTGTGAGGGACATCAAAAGAATACTTGTTATACAAAAATATCAAAGTCTCCTGGTTTCGACTGGGATAATTTTCTTCCTAGTAGCTGGTACAGTGCTGTGTTTTGGATTTAATGTGAGAATAATGTTGATAACACGCTGATGTTTTTGTTTTTGCTAAGTAGTGCTTACACAAAATCAAGGACTTCTCCGTGTCTCATGCTTGGCCAGTGAGGAGGTGCTCAAGAAGCACGGCTGGGACACCTGACCTGAGCTGGCCAAAGGGATATTCCACACTGTACACCATCATACCCAGTATATAAACTGGGGAAGTTGGCTGGGAGGGGGGGCCAATTGCTGCTGGGGGACAGGCTGGGCATCGGTCAGTGGGTGGTGAGAAACTCTGTTGTACATCACTTATCTTTCTTGGGCTTTACTCCTCTCTCTCCTTTTCATTACAATTATTATTGTTGTTATGATTATCATTAGTATTATTAGTATAATTAAATTTTACTTTGTTTCAATTATTAAACTGCTGTTACCTCAACCCACAGTTTTTACTTTTTTTTTTTCCCCAGTTCTCCTCCCCACCAGGGCTGGGGTGGGGGGCAGTGACCAAGTGGCTGCGTGGGGCTGAGTTGCTGGCTGGGCTTAACTCACAACAGTCCTTTTTGACACCCAACATGTGACTCAAAAGGGTTGAGATAATGACAGATCTGATCAGAGCGTGTTAAAACAAATTTGTTATAAGCGTTCATTGCGTTGGTTTAATAGTTGCTGGTCACCATGTTGATTTGTTTGCTCTGGGCATGTGCTAAGGTTGTCATTGTGGTGGTTTTTGTCGTACCGGCTTGTGATATGAATGAGTGTCTGGCCGTGAGCCTCGCCTGCTGTGTGTCCTATCCGCCCCTCGGGAGCCATCTGGAGGAAATTATCCACAATTACATCTATTGCCTTTTTCCCTCGGAGAGCCAGTCTGCGGGATAAATCACCTTCTTTCCTCTCCAGGATGATTACAGTAGTGTTTGAGAAATCTGAAGACTTTCAATATCCTTTTACCACCCTTGAAACCAGCCTGGTCCTTTCGCTGGCAACCAGCATATTGTTGCATGTGGTCCAGGTCGTCTTTAGGGTTAAGCAACAATCTGTGGCTACTCAAACCCCACTGAGAAGTGTTGCAGCTACTTAAAATCCAGTAACATGTACTGTGCCTTCACAGACTCCAGTGACAGGCCAACAAGACCAAGAGGCAACCACTGAATCCTTATACCTGAGTGAGCTGTGGGATATACAAAAAGATTTCATCCATTGTCCCCGTGAGTGCAGGACCACCTGGCTGTTCCAGTGCTGGGATAATTGGACTAACAGTTTGGAGTTAGAGGGTAGGGAAGCCAAGCAGCTGGGATCACTTTCTAGGGAAGCAGGCATTGTCGAGGTGATTGGAAGAGGGACACAGGTCCTCAGCCTCTGGAGACAACTCCTGTCGAGCATGAAAGAAAAGTACCCCTACAAGGAAGGTGTTCTGTGTTGCTCAGGCAAGTGGACAGCAGTAGAGAAAAATATCCCATGCCTGAGGAAATTAGCCATGCTGAGATGATTTATTTTGACCTGAACAACGCAGGGTTCCCCACAGATCCAGACCGAGTCCTACACACACAACCCATGTGGCAGAAATTTGTAGAGGGGACACACCAACCCACTGGCAACGTTCGTCTGGAGAGGTACCACACTACCAACAGTGATGCAGTGGCTCCACTTCTCTCATCTCATCTGTGGAGAGACTGTCAGATATACTGTCCCAAGAGTTCCAGCAGTTCAGAGAAGTTATGTTCTATTCTCCACCTGCACAGACCTGCATCTCAGCTAGTAACAGTAAGCATCCACTGGCTCAAGAGGGAGGATATGGCAGGTACACACCATGGGATACCCTGTGGTTTTAGCTGAGGGACCACAGAGAGTACATGAGGAATTGAGATGGAAGACCTACCTCAACTCTAGAGACATGAATTGCAAGAGAAAACAATCCCAAATGGGAGTTCTTCCAGGAAAGTTGCTGCTCCAGTCTCCAGTGGACAGTTTCCCAGGCAGAGTGGAAGGGATGAACTTACTCTTAATCCTATGGAAAGAAATTCTAATCTGTTTCTTCAAGAACTAAGCTTTCTTAGGCATTGTGGGTTTTCAGAAAATGCAGGTTCCAAACTACAGTCTGATTGTAAGCCCTTTCTATCAAATGACTCAGAGAAATTATTTCACATGGGGCCCTGAGCAACACCAAACCTTTGAACAAATTAAACAAGAAATACTTGGAAAACACTGGTGGACAGGTGGGCCAAAGAACACGGCATTGAGTGGGTAGATTGTATCCCCTATTGTACACCAACCTCCGGGAAGATCAAATGATACAATGGACTGCTAAAGACTACCCCGAGAACAATGGGTGGGGGGGGACCTTCAAACATTGGGATATGCATTGGTAAAGGCCACCTGGTGAGTCAGCACCAGAGGGTCTGACAGTTGGGCTGGCCCTGCCTGACCGAAGCTCCTACATACTATGGAAGGGAATAAAGTTCCTGTAATGCCCATAAAAAAATATGCTGGGCAAGACAGTCTGGCTTATCGCTGCCTTGGGCAAAGACAAACCCATCCGTGGGATTGCTTTTGCACAAGGACCTGGGCATGCTCGTTAAGGCAGAAGGATGGGGAAGTCTGGGTTTGATTTTGGGTGAGAACAGCCCAATGAATTTAATTGTGTGATGTTAATTGCTATATAACACTGTGTATTATCACTTCTGTATCAACTGTGTACCCACCATTGCCTGAGCACCTCCTAGTGCCTGCCTCTACCACTCCAGATTTCGGGATCCAAATCCACGTCCCCTTCAATCACGACATTAAAAATGAACTTTGATGAAACCAGACAAGCACAGCAGTGATGGAATCAGAATTGGCTTCAACATGCAACAATCCAACACCACACACCATCTTTCCTGCCCTGAGACACTGTTATGACAGATGGAGCCAGAAGTCATGGACTAAATGAACTCAATGGATTTCTACAGGGATTGTCTATAGACCAAGGAAATGATATCTGTGTATCTATCAAAAGACAGGAAAGGTGGTGGTGTGTTGGAAAGTGCAGGACCTGGCATGATATAAATGGTATGGAATAAGCAGTAGATACCGTCCTGGTTTCAGCTGGGAGGTAGTTTTTTCTCCTAGTAGCTGGTACAGAGCTGTGGATTCAGTATAACACCACACTGATGTTTAGCTGTTGCTCAGTAGTACTTCCCTGAGTCAAACACTTTTCAGTGACCGATGCTCTGCCACCAGGCAGGTGTACAAGCCCTGAGGAACAGGGCTAGGACACCTGACCAGAACTGGCCAAAGGGATATTCCACACCACAGACTGTCGTGCCCAGTAAATAAACTGAGGAAGGTGGCTGGGAGGGGCCAGTTGCTGCTGGGGGATGGTGATGAGCACTGTGCTGTGCATCACTTGTGTTTCTCAGGTTTTATCTCTCTCTCTTCCCATTACAATTATTATTACTTTGTTTCAATGTGCCTGTTCTTATCTCAACCCACTAGTTTCATTTCCAGTTCCCCTCCCCACGGCAGTGGGAAAGGGACAGGGAGTGAGCCAGGAGCTGTGGGGTGCTTAGTTACCAGCTGGGTTTAAACCCCAACACAAAGGGATCTTTTGACCTCTACGCTGTAAATATTGTTTCCACGTCTTACATACTGAAAATAGAAACTGTCAGTGTTCAGATCTAGTCAACCTGTCTGTGATGGCATTTAAAAAAAAACAACCCCCCAAAAAACTATAAATTAACTTGTATATTGAATCTGTGTGACAACTTCTCATTTTATTCACATATACATGCAGCAATACAAGATTCACTCTTGCAGCTTGGAACAACCTACTCAAGTAACTTCCACAGATGACCTTACCAGTACTTCTACTGCTTATGTCTCCACCACTGTCAAGGGCTCAAACTCTCCTGCAATTCTGATTTACTAGGACCTTGAAATTGTATTAGATTTGCCAAATCCATCTATAAAGTCTGTAGCTGTGCAGAATTAAACTCACTATCCTGACAGAATAAACCTTCCTGTAATTAAGGCTCGGGCAGTGTTTTATTGTCTGATGTGGAGGTCTCTCCCTCTCTCTTGCTGCAGGCTGCATATGTAATTTCATTCTGAAGAAAAATCGTGCCTGTACAACTCAAGCTGTAGTATCTACACCCTAACTGCTGAAGTGTTTGTTTATATAGTTACTTTATTATATATAAATAAATAGTTCCTCAGAAGCTGAAGTGTTCATGTCAATAGTTCAGTCACAGAAATTTAAATCTCACAATCTCATTAACAGCTTTCAGTTTCTTCTGTAAGATTAACACTTGATCACACTTGATCAGTGTGTTCACTGATGCAGAGTAGAATTAGGGTATTTGTGCCTATGCTTTTGGCTGTGCAGCTTCATCACTAACATAGGGGCTCTGCTACAGATTTAGGGTTCATGGAGGGTTTTTCGTGCAGAAGCTTTTTGGATGTGAAAAGCTCAGAATAACAGGGAGTTTCTTCTTTGTGTATCATTACCAGTGTTATGATGTCTCACCACTGAAATGTAGCTCAGCAAAGGAGTTTTGCAGTTAACACTGAGAAACACTACTCAGCTGCCTCAGCCACTCAGAGTTGATGACCTACACTCACCATACAGTCAAGAACTTCTTCACACCACTGGAATCAAACTGAAACACCGCATTTATTAAGATACAACAGGTGCCGTGTTCAGCAACTCCATGGCTGTACACGGCTGCAGAGATCACTTTGGAGCCTCCTCAAATTTGGGCTCTAGAGGGAGAAAGAGAAAAGTCATATTAGTCTCTCTTTATTCGATCCTCAAACACCATGATTAATCTGTAATTCAAAGAAAACTAACCATTAAGTTGGCAAGCTAAAGCAAGCTCTTGTACATTGCAGTTTACACCCCCCCTTACTTTGCATCAAGATCTGATTGAACGTGGGCAGCACTAAAAACAAAACTACGCTGGAGACAGGTCTTTTCCACCTTGCAGGAGTTACCCATAAAGGCTAAGACTTAGTAACGTTCTGCCAAAACAGCTTTTAGCAACACTTGAGGTGGTGGAGAAGGCAGCAGGGAAACTGGAGAAGTCAACGAGAACATTATTGGACATGAAAAAATATTTCCAACTCAGCTCTGATACAAGAACAAGAAACCAAGCTCTTCACTCCTCTTGATTAGTGTTATTGCTGTATATTAACAGAAAGGAACAGAAAATTTTAAATCCACTCTCTACATGCAAACACTGAGGAAGGAGTTCTTGATGTCAAAGGTACAAACTCAGAAGAGTTAGGGCTTTGGACAGGTGGGCTACTAATGCCTGTTCTTAAAACTAAGTCTGAGAGGTAAGGCTTGGCTTATAGTAATTGTCCCTAAGACAAAAAAATTGAAGTTCCTATCCATATAACCACTCAGTTTTGAAACCTTGTTGAAATTAGATTAAGGATAGGCAACAGTGATA